AACATTCCTTGGCATTGCCCTTCTTTGGGATTGGAATGTATACTGATCTTTTCCAATCCTGTGGCCACTGTTGCGTTTTCCAAATTTGCTGGCAAATGGAGTGCAGAACTTTAACAGCATCATCTTCTAAGACTTTGAATAGCTCAGCTGGAATACCATCACCTCCACTAGCTTTGTTGTTAGTAATGCTTTCTAAGGCCCATTTAACTTCACATTCCAGGATGTCTGGCTCAAGGTCAGTGATTATACCGTCGTGTTTGTCAAGGACATTGAGGTCTTTCTTGTATAGTTCTTCTGTGTATTCTTGCCATCTTTTCCTAATCTCTTCTGCTTCTGTTAGGTCCCTACCGTTTTTGTCCTTTATCATGGCCAGCTTTGCATGGAACGCTCCCTTGATTTCTCCAATTTTCTTGAAGAGATCTCTAGTCCTTCCCATTCTGTTGTTTTCCTCTATTACTTTGCACTGTTCATTCAGGAAGGCCTCCTTATCTCTCCTTGCTGTTCTCTGGAAATCTGCGTTCAGTTGGGTAAATCTTTCCTTTTCGCCTTTGCCTTTCGCTTTCCTTCTTTCCTCTGCTATTTGTAAAGCCTCATCAGAAAGCCACTTTGCTTTCTTGCATTTCTTTTTCTTTGGTATGGTGGTGATTGCTGCCTCCTGTACGATGTCACGAACCTCTGTCCATAGTTCTTCAGGCACTCTATCTATCAAATCCAGACCCTTGAATCTATTCTTCACCTCTACTGTATATTCATCAGGGATGCGATCTAGGTCAAACCTGAATGGCCTAGTGGTTTTCCCAATTTTCTTCAGTTTAAGTCTGAATTTTGCAATGAGTAGCTCATGATCTGAGCCACAGTCAGCTCCAGGTCTTGTTTTTACTGACTGGATAGAGCTTCTCCATCTTTGACTGCAAATTATATAGTCAATCTGATTTTGGTGTTACCCATCTGATGATGTCCATGTGTAGAGTCACCTCTTAGGTTGTTGGAAAAGGGTGTTCGCTATGACGCCTGCTCCTTGGGAGGAAGGCGATGGCGAACCTAAACAGCATGATAAAAAGTAAAGATATCACCCTGCCAACAAAAGTCCACATGGTCAAAGCAGGGAGCTGGGGGCGGGGCTTGCTGCCGCCACCATTTTACCAGTTCCTGGGCTCCCGGAGCAGCGCTCCGGCGCGCTTCGGCCCCAAAAGACCCCTGCAGATACCAATTTCACATTTGCACAATGGGGTCATAGAAAGGCAGATTACATGTAGCCCACAAATGCTCTTCCACAAGAACAATCTATCACAAGGATGAGCAGTCAGAGGGGAATATTGTTGACTTTGCTGAGAGTTCAATTAGCTTTCCAAGAGCCAAGCTATTAAAGTCTTGTAGAATTGATCGCCTACAAGCTTTTACAGTACTTACTCTGGATTCTTTTCACAGTACCTATTCTGGATTCATTCTGTTTCTGGATTCTTTCCACGTCTTGTGCAGACATCAGCCAATATATGTCCCAAATCAACTAGTGTACAGCATGGGTTGCTACTTGCAGAGAAGTCTCTAACAGTGAGAATAATCACAGGGCACAGACCTGTTGGAATGGTACCATCTCAGACTGTAGGTAGGAAATTATATTTTTGGAATCTCCCCCCTACAAAAGAGTATTAGGATATTAGGAAGAATCTTTGGTTAAAACTTTTATTCTTGATGTGCTAGTTTCTTTTGTTCACAGAGGGATTTTTGACATTCTGAAATGGTTCAGTCCAGATGTCTGTACTGTGTGGGTTCCCCCCCCCTAAATATGTAGGTCAGCAATAAATGGTTCTGAAGACTCTGATTTAAAATCATCTGTGTTTGTGCCATTTTTTCCCGTATTCTGCTTCCAATAACAAAATTAAATCGATGTCTTTCAAGCACAATATGTCCAAAAGATGTTGCTCTGTTTGTTACCTGATCAGATTTTACCAAAAAGGTGCAACAAAATTGCCTTCACACTTGGACATCTCTAGTAGAAGGGTCTGTTCTGATTTGGATGGCCCAGGCTAGCTTAATATCAAATTTCAGAAGTTAAGCAGAGTTGGACTGGGTTAGCCATTGGATGGGAGACCACCAAGAAGGACAGGGTCGATACGCAAAGGCAGGCAGTGGCAAACCATCTCCAAACGTCTCGTGCTGTGAAAATCCAATGGGATTGCCATAAATCGTAATGGCACATTCTAGCACCATTTAGAAGGGTTAGCCAGCTGCAGCCTTTCCTAGGCAGAAAAGTTCTAGTCAGGGGTCATTTCGTAGAAAAAGATCTGCAGGAGCTCATTAGTATAACTCATTTGCATATGTCACACCCCCTGACATTACCGGAAGTGTGTCAGAAGGCAACACCCACCGCACAGGCTCCACTGGACTGTTTTGGATTGCTAGCTATTGGGGGGAGGGGAGCATGCAGATCTGTCCTCACAGAGGAAGGAGAGCTTGTCCCTGAATAAAACTTGGTCTTAAAGGTGCCACTGGACTGTTTTGGACCGGGGGGGGGGCTCTGCAGCTTACCTGGCTGCTTCTTGCTCTGACTGAGGGCTGCTGGGAGCAGGGGGTGGGGCTTGTTGCATGTGCCCGCCCCCCTGGGCTGAGCTCCGCTCCTCAGCGCTCGTGCAGGAAATGACCCCTGGTTCTAGTCACTGTGGTGCATGCCCTGATGACATTTAGATTAGATTACTGCAGTGCACTCTATGTAGGGCTGCCCTTGAAAAGTGTTTGGAAACTTCAGTTGGTACAGAATGGTACAGCCATGGCCATGTTACGCCAGTCTTAGCCCATCTGCACTGTCTTCCAATCAGGCTCTGGGCACAATTCAAGGTACTGGTCTTGAACTTCAAAGCCATATATGGTTTGGGACAAACATACCTGAAGGACCACCTAATCCCTTATAAACCCACCTGAACATTATGGTTATCTTTGGAGACCCTGCTTCTGGTGCCTCCATCTTCTGAGATGTGGGAGGTGGCAGCCTGGGAGAAGGCCTTCTCAGTAATGGCACCAAAGCCAGTTTGGTGTAGTGGTTAAGTGGGCGGACTCTAATCTGGGAGAACCGGGTTTGATTCCCCACTCCTCCACTTGCACCTGGCTGGATGACCTTGGGCAAGCCGTAGTTCTGATAAGAGCTGTTCTTGAAAAAGACCTGTTTTTGAAAAAGCCAGAGCTCTCTCAGTCCCACCTACCTCACAGAGTGTCTGTTGTGGGGAGGGGAAGGGAAAGGAGTTGGTAAGCTGCTCTGAGACTCCTTTGGGTAGAGAAGGGCGGGGTATAAATCCAATCTCCTCTTCTTCTTCTACCTCACAGGGTGTCTGTTGTGGGGAGGGGAAGGGAAAGGAGTTGGTAAGCTGCTCTGAGACTCCTTTGGGTAGAGAAGGGCGGGGTATAAATCCAATCTCCTCTTCTTCTTCTACCTCACAGGGTGTCTGTTGTGGGGAGGGGAAGGGAAAGGAGTTTGTAAGCCACTCTGAGACACCTTTGGGTAGTGAAGGGCGGGGGGATAAATCCAATCTCTTCTTCTTCTTCTTCAAAGCACTGGAACTCTCTGCCCAGGGAGATTCAACCGTTCCCTTCTGTTGCCATCTTCTGCCAGAGGGTGAAGAGTTTTTTTTGTTTCCTTTGGCAATCCCTCAGTGATCCCTCCTTCCTAACTAGTGTTACTATGTTTTGTATGTATTTTAAATCTGTGTTTTTAACTCTTTATAAAGTTGTTTTATAATGTGATTTTATCCTTTGTGTTTTAAATTCTTAACCACCTTGGCAGCTCTCGTAAGGGCCGAAAGGCAGGATATAAATTTTTGGAAATAAATAAGGGTCTAGTATAGATGCTGGGGCCTGAGTCCAGGTTTGTTTGGAAACTGGATCTTGGATGATGTTCCGGCTCTGATAGCAAGGGCCTGAAGCAGTCAAAGGATTAATAGGAAGCACAGAGTAGCTGGAGACCATGCCTAGTCCTCTAAAGAACACTGAAGTCAGGGTTGCGGTCTTGATAGCTGTGTGCTAGGTCCAGGCTCACAGATAGCACGGAATCATGCTGGCCATACAAACTGTTTGAACCATCGAGACTCTCTGTTTAGGCCAGGGTTTAAATATCCCGGATAGCAAGAGGCCCCACCTGTTCCTGGGCTTTGTCTGACAAGGGCTTGATTGGACCCCGATCCTGGAAAACAGTCTGTGCTCTTAGGCAGTCATCAGTGAGCTGCTTCCTCACAAACCCACCATCTCTGTCGCTCTGGGAGAACCTGGGGACTAGGAGTTAGGGATCTGGCCCTTCAAGGTAGGGGGGCAGGCTGCACTGGGGTCTGGCATGTTGGTAGCATCATCTGTAACTAAACTTTCAGGGACACGTTCTTCAACTGAGACCTCAGGACTCAGGGGGGGTCCAGTGGTGTTGGGTGTTCCCTGGATCTCCTGGTCTGGAATCATCCTGGTTATCTCTGAGGAGTCTGTTCCTGAGTCTGAGTCCAGCTGGGGCTGCCAAATCCCCCCGGGGGGCAGAAATCCCCCCGCCCCAGATGCTCGTTCCCTGATGCCGGGGAATCGGGCCCCCGGGGGAACCCCGCCCCAGCGTGCACGTCACAGGGAAGTGACGTTATGACGCCGGGCACGCTGGGGGCGGAGCCACGGCCATACAAGGGAAAACTCTATGGTTTTCCCTTGTGTGGTCGTGGCCCCGCCCCCAGCGTGCCCAGCGTCATGACATCACTTCCCTGTGATGTGCATGCGGCGCGCGCGCTCGCGCCAGGAGCCGACCTGGAGTCCCCCACCGGAAGGGTAAGTGCCACTTGGCAATCCTAAGTCCAGCCCAGGAGAGATCACAACAGAGGTAGATCGTAAAAGGCCTTCCAGTAAAACCACTAGACTTTGGATCAGTTCCTTCATAAAATGTGTCCCGTTGCCACCTGAACTGTGTGGCTTTCGTCATTATTACGTATATAGAAATGGGATTTGGCCTCCCAACACTTCTCCCCCCTTGCTTTTCTTTCCAGGGGAGGAATGATCCAGACTTCCGAACAGTATCAGTTTGTGCATCATGTCATGAGCTTGTACGAAAAGCAGTTTTCAAGAGCAACGGCTGAAGAATGAGGTTTCTGGACAATTTGCTATAACGAAAAACAACAGAACTCTAACCAGAATCGTATGTATTCCAGAGCTGAGAAGATATACATGGGAATTTCAAAACAGAAGATATTTATTTATACATATATAAATATATATTGTTTTACTTTCATATTGCTTTATTTTGCATTTAAGAGCTATGATAACTGCTTGTCTTTAACATGTGACAAGACATCTTCTTCCTCACCCCCCCCCAAAAAAGGCCTATTTGTACTGTAAATAAGATCAGGAGCTTCATTTGTTATAAAATTTAAAAACATCACTCTCAGATTTGCTATTTAAAAAACAAAAAAACAAATTCACATGATTGCTACTCGATCCAAATAGTGTGAAACTCTTTGATAAATGTCTTGCTGGAATCTGTAGTGTATGTTGACTAAGCTTGAAAGTAACTTTTTGCCTTTTTTTCTGATTGTTTTTACATTTTGAACTACCGGATACTGTGTATATCATAAGACCTTCTGAGCCTCTGCATTAAAGGATTCAAGTGGATTCATACTGAAATAATGTTTCAAGCCTTCTGTCTTTGCTTATTGAAAACAGTATCTTTTTTGAGTCCAGTACACAAGGCTGACAACTCTAAGGCTTCCAAACTCGGGGTGTTGTTAAATATCAAAAGCACCATTGAGCCAGCAACATACTTGACTTCAGTGGAGGAAAAGAATTCTAGAAGGGCACTCGCCCTAGCTAGATGTTCTGCCCTTCCATCTATGGTTATTCAAGACAGGTACAATACAAACCGTGCCCCTTAAGCCAGGTCGAATCAGTAGAGCACATGTTCTTCAGTTGCCCATTTTACAGGGAGGCTCGTTTTAAAATTGTTACCCCATTAGTTGATAGGACACCTGGTCCACATTAATACAAACAAAGCAAGGCATCACTGGCTCCTATCGGACAAGAATACAGAAATTACACGGTCAGTTGCTGAGTTCTGTGCATTAATTCTTAGATTGCGGGAACCGCATTTTAAAAGTTCTTAAATTCATATTTCTGGTTTTTGTATTTTGTATATTATGACTGTTCTATGCTTACTCTGTATGTTTATCTCAAGACCACAATAATAAACTAAACTAAACCAGTACACAAGGATAGCCATGTTAGGTTGGGAGGTGTGTGTGTGTTATATAAAAGCCTAGTGGCTACTGAAAGACTAACCAGGCTGTTAGTGGCATAAATTCTGTAGACAGTTGCCATTCTTCTCACGGCATCATTCCTTAGTAATACCCCCTACTTTAAAAATAAATAAATAAATTGATAGTTTTCTATTGTGGAAACTCAGTCTCCATGTCAATTCACGCGTACACACACAAATAACAGTATGATATTTTTATATTTGGTGGCTCTGGACCACGTTTTGTATGTCGTTACATGGCCTGATGTTTAAGCGTGTTCTCAGCTCTAACCCTCAGCCCGGATTTTTGGGATGGCACCACAAGCGTGAGTTCAATTGGAGCATTCACACTTAACCCTTTTACCAGGATTCCATACCATCAGCATACTTTATAAAGTTAGTTGTTTGAACTAGTTTCCCTGCATTTCAACCCTAAGCCTGTTCGCTCTGAGGCTAATCGCATAAGGTTGAGTGGATTTGCTCCTTTTATATGGGTTTAGTGTTGAAAGTGAACCTCAGTATGTCTCTGGTGGCGAAGGCATTTTTCCTGTGGCCAGACTGGCTTGTGGAGGGAGCGGGAATGGATTTTCCAGGAAGCTTTTGGTTTAACATATCTGGGCCATCTGAAGCCATCTGTTCTGCAGCTTACTGTTTTGTACATTGTTTACTCCTGCTGTTTGCTTGTGAGCTACTGTAATTAATGACAGAGATTATTTGAAGTGCAGGGTAGTTTGAACAGATGACTTTCTAACCCAGTGGCTAAAAAAGCTGACCCAAACATCCCACTGTATCCCCTATAGAGAATTTAGTGACTGATAAATTGCATTAAGCAGTCCATGATTAACTGGACAGGAGAACTACACATTTGGTCATCACAGAGTTGTCTTAAGGGGGCTCGTGGGTTCATTCATGTGATCAGTAAAGCATTGGTGATCACATTCATGCCTATCTATTATTTTTGCAATGGATAACATTCTTTTCTTATTTGAGAGGGGGTATTTGACTACGTGGCGGCTCAAGTGGTTAAGATGCTGAACTGCAGACTGGAAGGTCGGTAGTTCAGCAGTTCGAGACCCGAATGCCGCATGACGGAGGGAGCTCCCGTCTCTGGCCCCGGCTCCTGCCAACCTAGCAGTTCGAAAGCAAGAAATTGCAAGTAGATAAATAGGTACCACTTCAGTGGGAAGGTAACAGCATTCCGTGCGCCTCGGCGTCTAGTCATGCCGGCCACATGACCACGGAAATGTCTTTGGACAGCGCTGGCTCTTCGGCTTGGAAACGGAGATGAGCACCACATCCCTAGAGTCGAATTTGACTGGCTTTTGAGCAAGGGAAACCTTTACCTTTTCTATTTGACTACCTTAACCAATGTGATGATCTGGCAAACTTGTGGCCATAATTTGTATATTTGTAGTAGAAAGAAAACGCAAATGGATGCCTATCATTGTCAGGTATTCATGTAGGAAATAAGACTTAACACAAGAAACCTTTTCACAGTTTTTAATTCTTGATACTAGTTATTAATATCAACTACTAAAATGGAATTATCTACATGCAATGTGAATTGATATTGATACAGCCAACATGAACAGAGATTTAATTCTGTTTTACCACAATAGAAAAACTAAATTATACAAGTACACATTGTGTAAAAATGGTTAATAAAGGCCCCGGTCACACTAGCGGGAAAAGCCGCAGCAGGAGTGCGGCTTTTTAGAGCCGGAGCAAACAGAAGCACGGCAGCGGGATCAGACGGGTCCCCGAGGCTCTGTACTTCTGCCAGCAGCCGTGATCACATGCTGCAGGGAAAGCGACTCTAAGAAGGGCGAGGAGGGCCAGCCGCAGCAGTTGTGCACATGCGCAGTTCGCCATTACCATGCATACCACAGGATAACCACATGTCGGCAATCCCACGGCCGCCATTGCTGCGCGTTATTCGGTAGGTAATGCCCTTTCACTACTCTCTTTTAGATCCACATCTTCGGCCGGAAGGGGTGGGTTGGGGGCAATGTTCCCTCTAAGCTGTCGAGTCTTGTGAGCAAAAATTCTACTTTGTGAGCTACTGGCATTAAAGTTGTGAGCAAGCGATGTGGCTACTGCATACATCAGTTTGCTCTGGAGCCCTCCTTCCTGAGCTAAGACAAAAATGTGTGAGCCAGAGGATAAAAAACTGTGAGCTAGCTCACACTAACTCAGCTTAGAGGGAACACGGGTTGGGGGCGGGTGCGTGACGCTTGCCAGCTGTTGGCATCTGATCGCGCCGGTTTAATCCGCCCTCAACCCGTCCGTTTCGAGGGGCAAATCCTCCCGTGTGACCGGGGCCATAGTAACTCTACAACATTATGTTTGCCTCAGATAACTTACTCTGCGACAGTAGGCTGTTTTCAGGCAAGCCTAGCATTTTCTTGCTAAAAGACAAATTGGTTTTTGTTAGGCATGTGAACACAGACAAACGAGGCGTGTAGCTAAAATTCACAAGAAATAAAAGGAAGTTCACAATCCGCCTCCCTCTAGTTCCATGGGGCTTATGAGGGAATGGCTGGAGACCTGGCTTTCTAGCTCTGCACTTGGTGGTCCAGCTGCTGTTCTCTGTTCCTGAAGTAAGCCTTTTCCTATAACGCCCCACCTCAGGATGCAGGCTGAGGTTACGTGTCGGACTGTTCACCTGTTAAAAAGAAACTCCCTGTACATACAAAACCAGCAGACAGAAGAGAAAGGCCTTATGTTGCTTATATAAAATCTTCCTCCTCCTGGATTCTATTAACTATCAACATTTAGAGGGAAGGGAGAATAATCTTTCTTCCTAATGGGTACAGAGCCTCCAGGCCCTGTCTTAACTGCTGGATCGTCTACAGAGGGGCAGTTCCTGTATAGGCTTGCCAAGTCCCCCCGGGGGGCGGGTAAACCCCTGCCCGAGAGGCCCATTACCCGACGCCAGCAAATCGGGCCCCGGGGGGGGGACTCCACCCCCTTCCGGCACACGTCCCCAGCGCTGGCCATGTTGGGGGTGGGGCGCTCTATGATTTGAGGGGAAAATCTATGGTTTTCCCTCGAATCCTAGTGGTCCCGCCCCCAAAATGCCAACGCGATGACGTCACTTCCAGGTGGCGGGACTCCCCCGGGGTAAGTGAATTTGGACTTGGCAACCCTATTCCTGTAACATGTTCCTTAAAAAAAAGTTTTCTCCTCTGAGAAGTCAGAGTGCTTGCCTGAGTCAAGGTTCTATTATTTCTGACCTGAAGTCTTGGGAGTCCCACTGGCAGCTGCAAGACTTGTTCGTTATTCTTATAAGGTAAAGTCTTACTGTGGCAATTCATCCCCAGGGATCGGGGCGGGGGGGGGCGGGGGGCAGGATTCCTAAGCAGCTTTTCCTGCTTTGGCCTTCCCACTTACACGAGCAGAAGGAAAATATGCCAGCGGAGCTAAAAAAAGACACCATCATGGGGGAGAGCTTGCAAATGCTTGCTGAGCAAAGAAGGAACGTCCCTTCCTTTCTCGCATTCATATTACAGAAGGTAGGAAAGGAAGTTTGTCTTGAATTTGTGGTCCCAAATTATTGATGCAAAATACATTTTTGGAGATCATGGCTATGTCACTGGAACTAAGGGCAGAACTATACAGTATGAATGATACTGGGGTGCCACCAAAACTGGGGTCCCCATGTCGAGTTTGGTCTACCCCATCTGTAACTTGGGGAAAGCGGAATACTTCTTAAGTTTGTGTCAGAGTTCTCTCAGCCCCGCCTACCTCACAGAGTGTCTGTTGTGGGAAGGGGAAGGGAAGGGAGTTTGTAAGCTGCTCTGAGCCACCTTTGGGTAGTGAAGGGCGGGGTATAAATCCAATCTCTTCTTCTTCT